TGTTTTTCTGCGTGAGGAACGACGACCAGTGAAGGCGTTCCTGCACGTCCCGCAATGTCTTTAGCGCAGAATCTTTAAACATGTCCCAGCATCAGCGCCACCCCTGTGTCTTCCAAGCGGAGACTTCAGACAGCCCGGGCCGTTTGGCTGAGTTCGTGTTTTTAAGTAGACGCCGATGATGAAGCGTCGATGGATCATGGCGTTTGTGTAGGTGCAGACAAGTAAGCAAGTCGGAATCCAGATTGACTGGTTGGCGACTTTGATCTTTCTTGGTCGACTACGTAGGCGCCACGGCTACCGTAACCACTGCGTAACTGTCGCGTTCAGACTCTTACCCGACATTATGTCCGCCGCCCCATGCGCGCACTATTCATTATTGCAGTAAATGTAATGTGAACAGTAATTGGATAGTGGTATTTTCAAAGGTCACATGTACGAAGAAATCAAGAAGAATCAGATGACAAGTGCAGCAAGATCGTGCACTTGTTGAGAAAGAACAATTCGATTGATTTACGGGGTCAACTGCGAATTTCGATCTGCACTCGCACGTGGGACAGTAGCAGTAATCTGGGCTAAACTGGGTGGAAACTGTCAGTTAACGTGGACCATGAGGTCATGATGATCTTGAGGTGCTCTATTTGTCGAATGCGTCCTATACTCGGCTGCATGTTCTTCGGCGTAAAATACCCTCCGTTCGTTTATGGGCAGATAGCCCAGTCAATACTGATACATTGGGTGAGCGAAAAGTTAGAAGTTTAATAGCAGCCGGTAATAGCTTCAGTGCTCCCCCGAGAGATTACCGTATTCTCTTGATTCTGATTTCACAAGAACGGAATTCATCTAATAATGTGTGGTGGTTCCAATTTGAACGGAATACAAGGCGACTTCAAGCTACTGAAGGAGGGCTACGTGCTACCTGGCACTGTGCCTGAGAGTTCCTGCAGATAGGCGATAGACCGCAGTTTTCGACTCATGAGCTGCTTTCTCTGGTAGGCTCTAGCTCAAGCTACCCTCCTCCCGGGCTTCACAGAACCAATGTAATCGGAAATTGGCTTAACTACCATATCAGAGAAGTAGCCTGCACTACCATTCCAATGACTGACCTTACAAATTACGAAGAAATCTAGGATCCCCAACAGCCAGCCATGGTAGGTCACTATCAGTAACCTTTCAACCATACCGTCTCTTCAATTCATTCTGAAAGAGAGGAAAACTAGCGCAATGGTCGCCCCGCGATCACTTTCAGAAGACGTCAGAGAACACTGTGCCATGTGCTCAGAAATTCAGGTATTTCAATGAGAAATCCATTATTTCAAAATTATCGCCTTTGTTATCGCACTGCAACCCACTCCGTTCACTGAATTTCTTTGTTCGCCTAGTTTAGCAATTTTCGTCGCGTCGTTTCGGCCATTGTCTAGACAACAATGCGCGATTTTCATGATAAGGGCCCACCCATGGACGCTGTTTGTGTTTATTGTATAGTACGGAAATGAAGCTCACCTGAAGAAACAGTAGTGAAGAACGGCAGTGGTCCGAGGATGGTGAGCAGTACAGATGTCCTTCTCGTTCCGGAAAGGCAATCGACCGTTCAGGGCATTGTAGAGAAGTACTCCGAGTGACCAGAACGGCTGCTTCGCGGCCAAGGTACAGCGAGTGCAAGAACCACTCCGGCGGACAGTACAGGCGAGTTCCTGGAAAAACTTGGAATAGAAACGAGTTCCTTGCTAGCCTTTTAGCTGGAAAGTTCGAAACACGACTTTTGAATTGTTCGTATTATTTGCTATTTCAGAGGACCAGGTGGTGCCCTGGCAAGTGGGGCGGTTATCATGCGCACAGTCGTGGGTTCGGGTCGAGTCTCGCCCACATCAATCAGAATTTTTCAGCCTTCTGGAAATCGGTTGATGCAAGTAGATCGTATAGAACACTAGTAGACTTGTGATCCGATAGCCCAAATTAGGTTAACTCGCATCCAAAACCAAAATTTTCTGAAATAGAGCGATGCGTAGCGTAGCGCATCCTGAGAGAGAATTGACCGTCTCTATGCCTACTTTTTAGCTAAAACCGAATCATTTAATCTCTGAGTCCTTCTGAAGAAATGGGTACGCACGTGCCTATTACAACTTTATCAGTCAACGACGTTCAGCGAATAATGACGGGTGCACAACGACAAGGTCGAGGGTTTTTTGAACCGAACATTGGCAAGCCAAATTCTCAACTGCCGACCATGCACTGGAGAATCATACAAACTCGAACTACAATGCTCCTTTTGGTGAGAAGTTTCAAGAAAACAAAGGAGGCAGCGAAATGACTATGCGCGTCTGTTGATTGACCTGAAGAGAATCGCGCACTCGATTTTCATCCTAGCCTTTTTTGAAGCGCTTATTTTGAATTGCCCTACAATCCTGACCTTTGTGGGTTCCAGTCGAGTAATGTTCAGGGATTTTTCGCTACGTACTGAGACTGGCACGACTAATCGTCTCCAGGCACCAGACAGCCTGATGGTGTTGAGCGAATTCCTATCCAGGACTAGAACTTCAGGTCATGCGCGTGGGTAGCACTGCCGGTAGTTTCCGCTTACCCTTGTTTATTATGGATACTGTGGAAAATTTAGCTAGTTTAAAAGATGTGAGGAAATAGGAAAGCATAATGGGTAGCCCGTTCTTCAAGGTCGTCAATGCTGAGCTTACACAGTGCTTCTCTGCCTTCTCGTACCAAAAACGACCTCAGTGATGGTGCTGAGGCTACCGATAAATGCCTGAGGCGCTAGCTTTAAGCATCATAGCAATATTCAGGCTGCATGGTGCATGAGAATTAGGCACATGTGCAACGGAGGACAGTTTTTTGAACTGAAACAGCAAGCACCTCATTCACAGGACGCTTTTTGTCTAACATCGAACAAGGATTTTGAGATAGCAGGTGAAGCGCTTATATAGATTTACAAGACATGGAGGGGATACGGTGAACGAAGCTTGATTACGGTATTCCAATACAGACAGTAACTCCATAGATGGAAGTATTTAGCGGCTCAGGAAGTACTGAGGTGATCACGCTTTCTTGAGAAAGCAAACGGGGAGACTGCAGCTTAGCTTAGTTCACTCCAGGTTTCAGATGTTTACGTCACCTGTTCACCTTATCCCTAGCGTGACCCTACTTTTAAAACATGCCCACGTGCGCAAAAAGTTCTTGACAATTCAAAAAGTCGATCATGTGGGGAATTTTCCACATGATCGTCGCCATTTCGACGAAATGTGAGAGTCGCATTGGTAGGCGTCGAAAAAGGAGTTTCTTCGAAATTCTTTTCTATCATTTCAGCAAAGACATGATTTATAATGAGCAGTGCACGTTGTAATGAACGCCTTTTTGCAGCACTGCAAAGATTTGATTGATATTAATCGTTTGCTAGAACACATATGGCCTGTAGAATGCCATAGAAAGATGAAGTGTTTGAAGCGGAGCTCTCCGTTTCAATATGAGTCCAAATGAAAGGTTTTTATTAATCACATATGGACAAAATTACTCGAAATATTAACCACAGTGAGTATTTCCAGCTAACCTACTGATCTTCATAACTCCACGGGGTTTGAATTAGTGGGAGCGGCTGAAGGCCCGCTATTGCTGGCATTATTTCTAATTTTTTCCAGAGCAGCTCAATTTTCCTTTCCCTTGGCTTGTGACTGGTACGAAACCATTTAAAAGAAAAAAATGTTGAACACCGGCCTAGGGACGATGGCAACCCTTTCCAATGTCCGCGAAGAGTATGAATTTGATACGATGCACGGCGCATTCCCGATGCCGATTAAAACCAACTTCTTTTTTCTAGTTTGAGTTTGAGTAGTGTTGTTCAGGGTCAATATCATGCGTCTTACCTTGAAAGTCGGTATAGTGCGATTTCTTGAGTACGGTGGCAGCACCGAAATCGATCAGCTTTGTGTCACCGGTGACAAGATCGATGACCACGTTCTCGTCCTGGAAACAGCAGCTCTTGCACGTAAGTGTGACCGATTGACAAACTGCACTACTAATTGCATAAACACGTTTTTCAGAGGTGAACATGGAATTGTTCTCGTTTTGCGATGAGTAAGCCTTGTAAAGAAGGGGCATCAAAAGGTGTAGGAGCTGGTTATGGGCGCCTGCTGAGGGTACTGTAGACCTATGTCAAACCTGTGCATGTACGTGTAACCCGAATCGTGGCAGAGCCTCCGAGAAAGCTTGGGTATAAGAAATTGCCTCTAATACAGCCTTTACCGATACTTCGATGGGCTAGCGGCAAGGATTAACAGGAGAGCGCGGCCACCTCCTTCGCGAGTCTCTTTCACCCCTTTCTGGTCCATTCCCAGGTCGTACCGGATCATTCAGGTGTCCTCGTAGAACGACTGCGTCTAAATTTGAGGCATCTTAAATTTGACGCCCAATCTACTCAGGCACACGTGGTCAATGGGGGGCCGGGGCGGGTGGGCGGGGGGCGGCGCATGTGGATCCAACTCTGCTTGCTCGTATTTGACTCAAGGAAAGTGGCGCTACCTGAGTGTGGCGTCACTGGAATGAACGAAGACCTGTGGTCCGTTTTTCGGCAGGGAATGATCCCTAATTTTGTATAGTGTGGAGTTCAAGGACGTTCATTTCGAATAGCTACGCCTAAACATGGACCGAAATTTCAATCGGCTTATCGGCTTGAAATGGTCGAGCGCAGATTGAAATGCCGCAGGATGAGATGGCTCCGGTGAAATGTCATGTAGGATGGTCTCCAACTAATCTCTGTGCTCAGTGATCAATGGTGTCAAATCTGCACGGTAGACGCGTACGCACAGCAGCGATTTCGCAATGAAATACTTATTCCCCGACTTCCAGGCAAAATTCGGTACCTTGCGGGAGACACTTGAAACGGGAAATTTTAAAGCAGATCGTCATTGTTTTTGTTTTTCAGTGTACTCAGGAATATTAAGAAGCGACTTCAACTACGCGATTACATCACTTCAAATGAAGCGGCAGCACATTATGCGATATACACCGTAGTTTGAAGAATTCACGCTTCCAATCCCGATGCAAGAACCCGTTTTTGTGAAGCATCTCGTTGAATGGTTTGAGCGATTTGACGGAATAGGAAACGAGCCATCTGAAAAGTTTCAGGTTTTTGTTGAATACTGCTACCAAATATTTGAAATGTTCTAAGCTTAATACCATTGAAACAATTGAGCCTTTATGGTCTTCACCTTCGCTGAAAAGGCCATCTGATTCTGACTGTTAGTCTACCCCTTCCGAAACGCCTACAATAGCGTGTTGGCCTTTGCAGGTAGGTTGGAGGGTTGAAGCTTCGAGCTTTGACCAAACCATTGCACAGACCGAAGTACGCACTACCCTCCATTCAGTATCGTAGCAGTATTTAATGCGGCATCTCCTATTCAATGGAGGGGAGGGGGAGGGGGGAGCAGCCGATGTTCAAGTCAGTGTTTGCATACTCCCAGAAAAGTCTAGTCTAGAACCATTTGAGCAGCTCCAGAGGGATGGATGCTTGATTGGGCTGGGCGAGATTGGACTGTGCGCAGTTGGGGAAGTGAAGGCTACATATTTTGCCACTGCATCACGGCGCCCATTCTGGCCCAGCCCCTAACACTGGCTATTCAGATCAAGGTTGATTAAGCCGATGTGGAAGGTGGGGCTCGTGCTGATCATGTGCCTGGAGCTGAAATAAGGGGCATTCTGCTTGTGTACTGGGCTTATCCCGCCTTAGTCCTTCCGATTCACTAGAGTAGCGAATTCTTCATAAGGAGTTTTGAGGTAGTTCTGGGACATAGAGAAGTAATGATTTGAATTTGTGAGAATAGGTAGGGATGCGAGCAAGGAAAGGTATTTCCGTATTCCGGGCAGGAATAGTGCCGCTTACCCTGATAGATCACCCTGATAGGGTTAACCAACCCAGCACTCCTGGAGTCGGCTAATTGTGAAGCTGTTTCTTATTAAGGCACGTGAGGGCTGCCAGTTCTATTTTTTCAAATCCATTTCTCAATTGCTGCGAAATGGGATAGATAATTGAACCGGGAAGTGACTATAAAGATAAGGTTGAGAACTGGTTGCACTCTATGGCAAGCGCTCATACGATCGCGCCATTATCTTTCCGTGGGTCGGCGGCAATTGGTAAGGTTTTGCTAGTTAAGTCATAACAAAGGTAATTCCCCCAACAAAGAGCACAGTACCTCTTCGTCGAGTTTCTGTTGCCCTTTGATGAAATCGAACATATCGACACATGGATACGGTCGTTCCATGACAATCAGGTATCCTTCCGGGATACTGTACCAGTCAAGGAGGCGAATCACTCCTGTAATTTTGTCAAATATATTATGAGCTTTCATCTCATTCAAAGTTGCTAAAAATTCAGCGAAAATGGCTAAATAACAGTTTTTCATAGAAATAAACCCCATTTAGCTGTTCATTGTTCGACTAAAAATGTGATTCGCACTCAGTGGAAAGTTCTGCTGCTCACTGGTCGCTGTTTAGCTGTAAGTTTTGATTTTCGAAGGTAAATGTATATAATTATATCAGTATTTTTTGTTTGTGTTCGCTGTAAATGGATGTTATCATATAAGCTTGACGCTTTGTTCAGTGTAATTGATAAGAGATTACCGAGAAGTAGTTATCTCTTAGACTAAAATAGGAAAATAAGTAGTACTGTCTGAAAACAACACTACCTCGAAGTCATGTATAGCGCTATGACGTTCTGCTCTAGTGGAGGACGCTTCTTAAGCAAGTTAAGACTTTCGAGGGTGATCGTCGTTGAGTCACGACGGCGTTGATCAAGGCTCTGATGAAGGCAAAGAAGCCGAACCGTTAGCTTGATAATGTTAATGCGAAAGGAATGGTATTCTTCTGCCTTGTACAACGACCCGCCCTTGGAAAAATGGACTCACTTAGCAATATCGGGCTGCTCAATAGAGCAAATTCAAACTCAAAAGCTGGAACAGTTAGGATCAGAGCTCACGCGCCCCTCATTCCCCGAAGGGGAATGTCCTACGCCCGAGCAAGTTCTCCCGCCAAACTTTCCTTCATTTGATATTGCTAAACTTCCTCACTTTTGAACGTTGCTTTTCGAAGAATATCGTATGAATTTTGAAGTCTTTCATCTAAGAACTGTCGCTGAATTTCGAATGCCGGCTAGCATCAATTACTCGATTATGGTATATTTTCTCGTGAAAATAGGCCATTTTTCGTATGTACACAGTCAAGATTCGCCGTTGTCATTAAACCCTGCTCTATTCAGATCTTGTAGTACTCATCAAAGGTTGGTTCTTAAGCTAAAGTAACGCTATACAACAAACGTGCGATAACTATGGTAATCATTGAGTGCCCCGTGATGCGAATGACTATTACGCCTCATTGAGTCGCTGACGTGTCGCCAATTGCGGTTTTGGCATGACGCCACCGCTTCTCAAACCAGTGATCCAGTCGGCTTAAAGCAGGAATTCTTGGCAAAGATCTTCATCACAGATATTTCTTTTAGAAAGAGGCCAAAATAGCTTTTGCGGCACATGATTAAATTACACGGCAGACGACCAACAAAGGCGCATCACACAGCATACGGTCTATCTTACAGTAAAGTAGCGAACAAGCTCCTCCGAAAGCTTGAATAAGCATTTCAGTAAAGCCTGATCAAAGTGGGCTATTCTCTGCTTCATGTTTAATCGGTGAATTCATATTTGGTGAGTGAGCACCTGTCTTGATAGCTTAAACAACTCTCGTCTTCTACTGCCAGATGCAGAAACGCTGGTCATACGCGAGAATGAAAAATCTACCTTGCTTCCACCAGTGTAGCCCGTAACTCAAAGAATATGGTAAAATTCGGTCACATGCTTTTACTGATGTTTTTCATTCGTTTCCTTTGTCAATTCAACTATGTTTTGCAACTACAAAGAAAGATTGCAGCTCTCTCTTCAGCATAAATTGCGAACAAAGCTTGATTAAATTCATTTCAATCTTTTGAATGAGTCTGAACTGCTTCGGGGTAATCTGAATCCTGAAAAATGTCAGCGTTAAATTGCCTTTCTGAATCTCTCATTTCCGTTCACGATTGTCAACGTTTCATTTAAGCAATATTGAAGAACCTGCTATATTTTTAAATGATCCCATAATCTTAAGTTGTAATGGTTTCCTTAGAGGGCGCGAAAGTTTAATGGGCGCTTGTTCAAGGGTGGCGGGTGTACATCGGACTATCCGGAAGATGCATTTGCTCAAACTAGCGCTTATACAGGCAGGGGGGGCCAAAAAAAAAAGACATTTTGCCTCCACTTCCAGATGGATTTAAGCACATTTTACTCAACTCAGACCGAACGGTTCCAACTTATTATTAAAGAGTGCATTCCATTCTATAAGAAAATCTTCATAGTGGCCACGTACGTGGACGGCATCAGAAGAATTAGCCCTGGAAAACAGTCGTCCGGCCCGACGGTACGAAGTTCTCCAATGGGGTCTTCGAAGGATCGTGTACCATAACGACCCTTACTGGAAAGCTAGTTCCGAGGGATTTGCACAGTGGTAGCTAATGCCTCTAGAAAACTATCCAACATTAAATCGATTCACGAAATTGCGTAAGAGCTTCAGGCTGAAGCTCTTACGGTAGACCTCCTTGAGCCTGACGACGGTGACAGATGACGTCATATTCTGAAGACGGTGAGGCAGTGAAGGAGAGCCTGCGTACACTAATAGAGGAACACTTAGGGAATACTCTGCTGAGGAACTCCCGTCAACGACAGCAATCTCTGCGAAGAAAAAAGAGCCGAAGTCCGACATAGGCAAAATGTCTTTTTTTTGGCCCCCCCCTGTATATTCCATTTCCACATTCATGCAATCTTGATGTGCATAAGTT